TAAATAAATTGCATTCATAAATGTTCCCCTCTCTGAACCTCTTTTTCTTAAATTCATTTATTTAAAAACCTAAACATTTCATTTGCTGCCCGTTTCCGAAGGCCAGTAGTCTGGTTTGCAAACCTCTAGGGGGCGTTATTGGCCACTGAGCGCATTGAGCGCCTGAACAAATGACGTTACAGGTTCAGGAGTCCAGTATGGCAGGGCATTTTATCATAAAATCGGCTTCACCACGCTTACAGTCCAGATGTCTTGAATCGGAAAACTGACATGGACAGATAAGGCACACTAATTTTCATAAGATTTTAAGTGTTTTCATATTTTCATGAATTGTTATATTTAATTCATTTTTCTTTTTTATCTTTCAGGTCATGTGTCCTCAAAATGTTTTTTGCTTACGATTTTTTTTAAAAAACTTTTTTGTGTTTGTGTTAGTGTTAAATTAAGAATTAAATATGGAAGAAGTTAAAGCAAATATAACATCATTATCTCATGGAAATGCGCTAGATAATTTTATGCAAGGCATAGGCTAGAGAAACGTTACTTTTTGTGCTTTTTTCAACGGCACTAAGGTTGTGCCTTATATGTCCAGTCAGTAGAACAGATTTAAACAGATCAGTCAGTGGGTCAAATGACCTAGAAGCTATTGCAGAAACAGTATTTTACTTTAACTTTAATAATTCCTAAAAAAAAAAAAAAAGAAAAAAATAGGGGGGAAAAATTAAAATTGAATAAAGATGATTGTGCCTCATCTGTCCAGTCCAGTAGAACAATTTTACACAGATTTCAAATGATGATGTTATTTGAGATGTCTTTTAATTCTCCAAAATGTGATTCAAGTTATCTTGAATTGTTATTTTCATTAATCATGATATAAATTCTGATATTTTAAAGTATCTTTCATGATAGTCAAAATGTAGTTTTTCCTTGTCAACACCCTTTAATTATGAAGTAATTACGGATAGGCAGAAGAAGCTGATTTTATGTTAAATCGTCCTGCCCTAACTATGTTAACGCGGCCCGCCACTGCTCGGAAACATTCGGAAACATTCGGAAACATTCGTACAGGCTGCTGAACATCATGGCGTCAGGAACTGGTGAATCTTCAGGAGGACACGATGCAGAACTGGATGAATTATTGGACAGTGAGTGTTGACAGGAGGTTTATCTTAAAGGAGTTCAGCCGCAGGACGTTAAATGAGCTGTGTTTTCCAGCTGGGACCTCCTGCTTTGATTCGCTGTCCGTGAAAGAGCCGCGCTGCTCTAAGCTAATGTTGGAAACACTGACAGTTGGAGCAACCTTTAGTGGCCTTCAAACTGCACGCAAAGTGGAACAACTTTCATTATAATGCTAAAAAAGAGACAAACTCAATACAAAGGATTTGGTTGTTTAACGTACAAACAGTCAGACTCTTATTTTTATTTTCTTTTTTTAGCCAATCAGCAGTAGTTTTGGTAGCTTCTGGTTTTAATTGCACTTGATTTCTTTTCTTTTGTTAGTTTTTTTTTTTTTTACTAAGCGGCGTTTTATAAGTCATCTATTAAAGTTAAAACACTTATCAGGACTACAGCTAACTATTCCAGTGTTTTTCATTTATTGTTTTCAGATTATTTACTGCTGATAGTTGAACTAGTTCAAGGTTAAACTCTTCCTATAAAACAGTCATTCTGTCTTAACTTTTTTTTTTACAATGAATAAACTACATAAATAAGGTTGATGTTAGGCTCTTCTGAAATTTCAAATGAATGTGTTAAAGACCTAAATTACTAAATAAAAGGATCAGGATTTTAATTTAATATGTACTTTTACTATTCTATAATATATATTCTATAATATTTGACTAATTTTACTTTTTATATACACTTGTGTGTACAAAATCTGTCTAAGTCTATTCAAATATTTTCTAGTTTTTCAGATTGAATGCACCATTAAGATGATTTACATCATCACTGCTTCATCAAAAACTCCCTAATACTCTTATTTCTGTTTATTTTTAGCACATAATTATCTTGTTTTATTCTCTGAGGTATTAAAATATTTTCTTTTATTTCCGCTGTAGAGTTTTATGAATAATTTCCCCGTCTTTAGATGTTGTTAAATCTATGTATTAGCAGGTTTGTGCTCCCTCTGACCTGCGGCTCTCTAACCTCTTCAGGTGCTTTGGATGATTTTGACAAAGCATCTGCTGCTTCAGCAGCTCCTGAACCTGCAGCCGCTTCATCCTCTGCCAGCGGCTCTGCACAGAAGGTCTGTTTCATCTTCTAAAGGGAGCCTGTTTTTAAGCAATTGCATATCACCCTGGTTTGAGTGACACACAGAGAGAGTGAAAACTTGTTTTTATTGCGGGATATGTTGCTCCTAAGAGGAGTTTTGTGTTTTTATAATATCTTTACAAGCAAGTGTTATAGATTTATGATGAAGAATGGAGAGTATGTTGGATGTAAGCTAAAAGGTCTCATTTATCTTAGTGTTTCCTGCATGTTTTGCTTTTTCTTTGACAGATTTTCTTATTAGTTTCTATCTAGAGTGTTAATAAAAAACATTTGAGGTATTTTTATTTGATAATGGCTCATTTTTGGCTCTTTAAAGGCTTGAAAATTGGATCTAAACCCAAGAAAATAGATTATCCGCTTGTTATAAGTAAAGCCTGCGGTTTAGGTATTAAGAGCTGGTTATCCTCCTGCAGCAGTGTGTCGCAGTGAGCTTGAAGCAGATACTTTTGATTTATTCTCAACATTGAAGCGTGGTCTGCGCTGTTATTCCATGCCACAACGCAAGAGGGACAATCAGGAACTAGCTGTGGGTCTAGATACAGCCAAGGCGGTGAGGAAGTGGGGGTTTGTGTGACAACGGAGGGAAATGAGGGCCAAAAAGAGCGGGGATCCAGGTGGAAAAAGGGTCCCAGCGTTCTCACGCACCTCGCTCTTCTGGCGATGGCGGTCATAAACAACAAAACAAGCCAGTAAGGTACCAAACAGGAAATATTCATAGTGTAGAGCAGATGTAGATTTGACCAATCAGATCTGCGGTCACTTACAATTTGGGAGATGTGCAGAAGGGGCTGGGTCACATTTGCGTTTACTGCGACACACGCAGACGACCTGGTTTCTGAGTATAGATCAGCCTTTAGATTCCATTCATGCCTCT